TGGAAGCTGCAAGGGGTTTGAATAGTTTTGAAGTGTAAAATGTAAAAAACAACACATAGTGATTAGTTTCTTTAAAATGCATCACTAATATCTCCAACATAATGTCTTGCTGTGTTTTGTCACTTGTTTGTGTCATTTCCAGCCTGAAGAAACCTGTTGGTCGAATTCACGAATTCACAAGTTCACCTTCATTTGAACGTCTCTGCTGCACAACCTGAAACTAAAATGCACAAACCTCGAAGCCCAGCCATGAATAAGGAGAAACCACGTCGTAGAACAGCTCGACCACTTTCCTGGAGCTCATGTTGACTTCGCAGCAGCTTCGGTTCGCACTTCAAATGTCTGCAGAGACAACTGGACTCTGTCCGTTCACTGCTCACTGTGGCAAAGTTCACGCTCAGCGGCTCCTCTGCAGGTCAAAGGAAATAAAACAGCAGAGAAACGCGATGACACAAATCACTGTTTGGTTTGAGCAGAATTAGCAGCTTTAGCGGATTTACCTCTTAACCTTTGCTCTATCTGACAGTTTGCTGAAGTTAGCCGCAGCTAGCCGCGTCTACACGGACGCTCAGTGACGCTGTCTGACCGCCAGGAGGCTGAATTTAATGCTCCAAACACACCAAACCATCACCGCCCTCCTCTGGACTCACATTGATCTGCTCGCAGTTGGTCAAATTCCGCCACCTTTGTTTATCTTCTTCTTCTTCTACTGGTCATATTTCCGCAGCAGAGGCGCGCCGCTGCCCTCCACAGGCCGCTGGTGGAACTACACGTGTCCGCAGTTCAACCCAGAGTGAAGCCTGCAGGGGACAAAGTGAGCTGCAGAGGGCGCTGCTGCACGATGACTGACTGATTGGAATTAGTTTTTTAGTATAATAAACTCTAGATATTTAAAATGGTTCCTGTGAAATCTCATATATGCTTTATATAAAATGTTAAAAATGGCCCCACTTTCAGCAGGTTGTTCTTTCATACTTGAACAACAGTATCTCAGGATCTATTCAAGATTAAAACCTGAACATTTCACAGTTATTTCTCATCATGTCATTGATTCAGAATCTGCAATATTGAATACATCATGAAAAGTTCCAGCTTTGAATATATTAACCAAAATAAAAGCTAAAGCAGAAGTCAACCTGTGATGTTTTCTGAACCACATGAAGATCATGATAATACAAAACTAAACATAGAAAATACTTTTAACATGAAATACAGGATTCTTTGATGCATCTCTGGATGTAACTCTGGTAACTGCTAAAATCTGTATGTGTGAAATGTGAATTTACACGAAACTTCTTCTTGTTTTCTCTTGAACAGAATAAAATCTGCAGCGGCTTCAGGTGGTGCTGCTGCTTTCGTCTTTTTCCAGCATTAAGGCCTAAGTACAGATGTCCTCCTGGTTTTGTATTACAACGGGTTTCTTTCCACAGTTTGTGCATATAAAAGGTGATTCTTTCACTTTATATTTATTCAAATTTGTAGATATTTAACAGAACAACCAGAACCTGAGAAGCAGGGGGAGCACATTCCTTCAGTCCTTCTTCTGTCCTTGAACTTGACTGTTTGGTGTTGACACTATATTCAGCCCTCATCATTACTGACGATGATAAAAACCCAAACAGAGCTAATAGCCTGTGATGTGCACAAGAATCCAACTGTGACGTTTTACTTACTAAACATCGTTTACTATCTCTGTGTGAAAGTCATTTCAAAACACAATATACAAACAGTTTTTCCAAATTACCGATCCTATTTTATTGGTCTCATTAAAGCCATCTTTATAACAATCTTCATTTTCTATACATTTTCTACATTTAATTAAATTTCTCCCACTGTTTCCCTTCATGTCCATTAACCTCTGTCAATACATTTCTGTCAGTTTCTATGTCAAAATTTTCACTCAAATACAATTTAAAGATTCTTATTATTCTAAAATATCACCTCAATGACAGTAAAATATTTGTATTTTCAGAAAAACTATTTACTTGTACACTCTATTTACATATAGATCATCCACCAGGATAATAAAGATTTAATTGTATAGCCTAGAAATGTGTATATTCATATTTAATGTCTAAAATCTACACATGAACTTTTTCCTTTATGTCTCCTCTTGAGGACTCGCTTGATCTTTGGGTTCAGCTGGAACCGAGCTGTCAGAGAGAGCAGACGGAGGTCCTGGAGATTTGTCACTGAAAAGGACAGAAATAATCATAAATCTCTGTTTTGTTTTGTTTTTTTTACTCAGCTCATATAAAAGACACGTTTTCAGCTGTTTTTAAGAGTCTCACCTGTCGCCATCCTTCTCTGTCTGCAAAAGAAGTGAGAAGAACTTTAGGTCACATTTAAGCATTTATTCGAGGAAACGCAGAACCAAACAAAATCACTTCATCTCAGATTCTGTCGCCGCTCAGTAACAACGTTATTTCTAAATAGAGCAGCAGAATATTTCCTCTTTTGAACAAACAAGCACAAAATTCAGGCCCCAAAGTAGAAACTCAAAGCAACCAAAGTGAGTCCAGCTGTGGTTTCCAATCAGTCTAACTGCATGAACATGGTTCTAAAATGAGCTGAGAACAGCAGAACTTTCTCAGTTCTGGACCTCTGGACTGTGTCTATGTCTGCATCATGGCTCCACATGGAGAAGACCTGAACAGAGGACGAGACAAATCTGACTCTGGGACTTCACAAAGTTGGAAAATGATCCAGGAAGATCAACTAAAACCCAGTGCAGCCCAGTGTGAGCAGGAACCAGGAGGTCCAGAAGGAGCCACAGCAGCACTGATCAGGGCTGCAGTGGTCGTCCTCCTACAATGACTCCACGGACAGTCAACTACTGTCACTATGGAGCTGTGGACACCAGACAAAGGCAGCTGCTTCAGACTTGGCACAGGGCTGATCAATGGAGACCACAGTTAGTGTGAAGCTCACACAGTGTGAAGGACACTTCAGAACATCAGCCTCTATGGACGGAGGACCAGAACTAAACCTGGCTGCTGCTCACAGCTAAACTTCCACATCAAAGTTCACCAGAGAACATGAACAGAAGCCTGATGGATGCTGGAGAACATCCTCTGGTCAGATGGAGATCAATGTGTTGGGCTCACATGGAGTCCAGATGTTTGGTGTGAACCTGACCAGGACCACCACAGTGGATGCTGATGGTCCTGACAGTGAAGCACGGAGGTGGCAGCATCATGATGTGGGGCTGCATGAGGGCAGAAGGTGTTGATGACGTTTATAGATGAATGTCTGACGATGAACCAGAATACTGGCTGACCAGATGAAGAAGAGGAACATTCCAGCAGGAGAACCATCCAGAGAACAACACACAAGAGGTTCCACACTAGACACTCTACTGTTCAGCTTAGAAGTAATCTGATTACTGCAAGGGGATGGAGCGTTGAATCATTTGGTTATTAAGTGGTTTTGTGGTGGACTAGCTGCTGCTGTCAGTGTAACTTTACTGCACCATGTTTTTACCTTCGGTTTCTGCGCTGCGTTTCCGGTCATCTTTCTCTGAACCCCGAGAGTGTCGAAGGAATGACTTCTCACTCTGATGGCTCTCTAACGACGGAGCAAAAACACCGTCAGATAAGAAAAGTCAAACACGAGGCGAGTTTCTGATGGACGCTGACGTTCACCTTAAAGTTTTCGATGAACCCTCCACTTCCTTCAGACGCCCCCCGGACTCCCTCGGACGCGGGAGCGGCGACCAGAGACGGAGGATCTCCCATCATGCACTGGGAACGGGTGGAGAGTTCGGCCTGCAGACTCTCTAGCAGCGACGAACGAGTACGAAGCTTTAAAGAGAACAGAGACAAGGCGTGGACGCTCACTGATCATGGAGGGGATTACTGCAAATATCATTCATCTTGTCATAAATGTGTCAGAAGCAAATTTCAGCAACATGAACTTTCAAAACAACTATTTTCAATCCCACGTATATTTCCATGCAGCCTGATCTTGCAGAGCAATTTGCTTGACAATAAGCTTAATAGCACGCTTTGTACATGTTTTATGAAAATATGCATGAATAAATAGCAGCATAATGATGTAATATGTGTGAGGGGCGGTAACAGAGGAAGTACTTCAGCCTCATGTGTCAGAGTTAATACGGACTCCTTTTTATGATTTTATGGTCCTGACAGTATGAACAGGATCAGAATTCTTCGTCATTCAATTCAGAGACACTTACTTTTTAAATTACGACTTTAAATGAACAAGAATTTCGTGCTTTTAGGAAGTTCGTAGATGCTTTTTGTTTCCAGAACAGGCTGTCAAATATGTATGAAACAGTGTTAATATCATAAAAAATGGATAAACAAGTTAAAAGATGCTCCAAAAAATATATCCACCATCCTGCAAATATTGTTTTGGATGCATCTGATGCTCGTCAGACAGTTTGTCTCTACGATAAGAGAGTGTTCCTCTACCTCCAGCCGGCTGAACTGTTCGGCCTTGTAGCAGGAAATCTCGGCGTTGATGAGTTTGGTGAGAAGAAACTCTCTCAGCTGGAAACGCTGCAACGTCAGAAACCCAGAAGTTCAGGTGAGCAGGTGGAGGGAAGGTGGAGTTAACCGGATCAGAATAAGTTGTGTTAAAGACGCTAAAGGACAAGACAGAGGCTGGACTGGAAGACGCATTCATCTTTTCATTTGAGACACATAAACCTGCCGTTGTAAGAAACGTGCAGATTGATGACGGCTGCTCAAACGTTTCTACAAATTCTCACAGATTCGAGACTCCTACAAGGAATGATTGTGAACAGAAATGGTTAAACAAAGCACATCTTGCTGTGTTTTGTATCTTGTTAATGTCATTTCCAGACAAATAAATTCACTATAAATCTAACTTTTGTGCGGGGATACATAGTTTTGGGCTGAAATGTTTCTACTGCTGGACGGTGATGAAAACACCAAACTACTAACAAACAAAATTACAAACTGGCTGGAACAAAAAGCATGAAGTAAAATAAAAACCTTACATCCGTGAAGATGGGAGGATCTGGGAGAACCGGACCAAAGGGAGGAACGTCTTCTCTGGCCGTGACCGACACCTGAGAGGGACAGAAAACATCAGAGCCTGGCTGATATCAGCTTAATATATCAGTATACTAGCGTATGTCTGCAGGTCAGCTACAACAAACACACAGCAGCTGCACAATCTTATCTTATCTTGTACACAAAAGTAAAGCCTGGCTTAACTTTTGTATTTAAGATAAACTTCATTGAAATTCACATGTTGCAGCAGCTGGAGACAGATTAGACATGAAAGAAGCAGGACAAGACATTATAAAAGTAAACTAGGGCTAAAAAAATAAAGATAAAAGTCTCACAGAGAATCTATGACAGATGAATGAACCTCCATGTGCACGGCGCTTAACAAACTTATTAGACCACCTGTCATGAAATCTTTGAAAATCTTTCAAAAACTTGTTCTAAACTAAAAATGTTGTTGAAAACTAAATCGTCCTTTTTCACACATCATAACCAAAAAGCTTTATATTTCGTACGACCTCTTTTGGCCTCATTCAACCACTAAAACTAACGTTTCTGTTCAGGAATGTGAGTAAATAACTATAATTTGACGACTTAATCAAGAAATAATAATGTGCTTCACTATTTTTTAGGGTATTTTTTTGTAAAACAGTGAATTGGAAACTTGTTTGATTGCAATATTAATTATATTTTAACATTAAAAACATCATTTTGGTTAAAGAGCTTCTACATCCTGGTGTATTAACCGTTAGGGAAACATGAGAAATGATTTAGGTAATTAGCAATGCTGCTAATATAGATTTAATAAGCACTGTACACACATGACAGTGAATTTATAGTTTTACATATT